ATGGTGGTTCTAGTGCATTTCATAAAATCTAAAATTCATCCTATCTTCATCAAGTTACAGTTTTCGCTTTAAAGATGACTATGGATGAGTACTTGTTTATGTATTAGACTTAACAAGTTTATATGGATCTATGCAGTAAGAAACCCTCTTTCGAACTCGATAGCACGAAGCGTTCTCGAATTATTTGAAAAATAGCTATCACTCTTCTTTTTGAAATGGACATTAATTTCTAAATAGAGATGTGCAGGACTAACTTTAGTTTCGTGACCGGAATCAGAATTTGAAGATTTGTCGGAACCGGGACTACAAGAAAGTCATGTGATCTTGGATAAGTGAAAAAAGTTATCGGAATCAGCACCAAAAAAAAAACTTGGTCCCGCAGATCTCTATTCTTTAATTAAGCTTTAAACAAGCATTATAATCTACTTATAAATTAAAGTCAGTCAAAAAACAAAAAACGAAATTTTTCTTTGTTTTTTTTAGAATGATCAAAATCAACAGGAAGAAACAAATGATTCGTCTGACATAGTTAATGATGATATTAAAATAAAACATCCAGAATCATTTTCATTTACAAATGATACAAATGAAACATTTGTTGATAGCAATACTACAACACCAGTTGAGGAAATTAGTTCACATTTTATTTCTACTGATCCTATGACAACAAGTTTTGTTGATGGAGCACCTAATACTCGAAATCCATTTCTTGATAAAATTGATGATATAGAAATAATTCATCATAATATACCAACAACAACAAAAAATACAATGCCATCAATTGAAGAGATTAATCCACAAAGTTTACCAATGGATGATGAAAATCATTCGAAAAAATCAACAGTTAGTAAATCAAGTGTTCCAACAATTTCAATTAATAATTCACGTAAATCAAAACAAACATTACCATCAGGTCCTATATTTTATGTTGATGTTGCATATATTCCATATCATGGTAATGAACATTATGTTGATAGTGAATTTTTTCGTCGTATACGTGCTCGTTATTATATATTAAATGCTGTTGAAATAAATCGTCTTACATTAGAATCTTTAATTGATGGAAAACAACAATGGGATAAACAAGAACAAATACCAGTAAGTTTTTTTTTAATAATAATTATTATTATTTATAATAAAAATTCTTTTTTTGTTTGATTTATTAGGTAACACTTGTACCAGCATATGATGGTGATCAATTACGACAATTTTTTGTTATGCATAAAACTCGTTTAGCTGAACTTAATATAAATATTATTCCAGCAGCAACTCGGTGTAATGTGCAATATGATGATGAAGGTTCACCTGCACAACGTTTACGTTTTAGTAATGAACAATAACTAATATTTGATCTAGTCCAATATCATTTTCAAGAATCTCATTAATAAACAAAAAAAAAA